TGTAATGTCTCGTGTTGGAAAGCCTTACTCCTATGGCATTTGTGGAAAGGCATTGGACCGACGGCGGAAGGATTTGTCTTTTCACAGTGTATTCACTCTGGTGACCCCAGTGTAATTGAAAAGGAATATGTGTAAGCAAAACCATCATATATTGTACTTGTATTTCTCTGAGGATACTGTAGTTGATTTAATAATAATAATAAATAATTATAACTATAATTTTAATTAATAATAGTTTTAATAGTGATCTCTAAGGGAAGGTTAATAGATACTGCAAACAGATGCTTAACCCTTTAAGGCCCAATTATTATTTATACAAATACAAATTCTCCAAACTGATCTCTATACATTTCCCTAAAGAATGTGTCAAGAGAATTTGATAAAAGATCAAACCATTTTTCTCAGGTGACCATTTTATTCATTCTCATAACCTTATCTCTTTCAAGACAATTGACATCGTTAGGAGAAAATTGATGTTGGTCACTTTTGGCACTTAGAGGGTTAATTAATACATAAGTACCAAGTGTCATATTTTCTCAATCACAAAAAAAGGAAAAATTAGGGAATTTATTTAGAAACAGTGCCAAGAGAACTAATTCCTATTCATAAGGTTAGTACCGGGTGTGCGTCTGCAACTCCTTGTGGTGACAGAGCAGTAAAATAACAGGAAAATACTGGACAAATCCAATGGGTCAAGCAGATATGGTGGAGAAATGCCATGGTAAACATCATGTTAAGTCTTTAGATGTAAAGATTTAAATATGTAAAGATATTTATAATAGTACCGTTGTTGTTGATAAATCCATGTATTTGCTCAGATTGGTTTAATTCAAAATTAAAACTGGCCCATAATTATGTTCCAATGTACATGTATGAAGAAGTAAGGTTATGTTTGAAATTATAGTATCCTCTCATATGTAGCTGGCCATTTTCATGCTCATTATAATAACAAATTTAAACTAAACTAACTTACTGCCGATATCAATTAGCAATTATTGCTATTTTTGCTTGTAAAAAAGGGAAGAATAAATTAATTCATTTTATTGAAAAGTAAATAAAATAATAACTTTCTTGAAAATACGTGTTAACTATAATATAATAATTGAGATTGCTGTTTATTTTTATTGACAAGTGATGACAGTCTTCCAAGAAAGGCTTAAGCCTTTCTTAGGAGATAGAGGGNGGGTTAATTAATACATAAGTACCAAGTGTCATATTTTCTCAATCACAAAAAAAGGAAAAATTAGGGAATTTATTTAGAAACAGTGCCAAGAGAACTAATTCCTATTCATAAGGTTAGTACCGGGTGTGCGTCTGCAACTCCTTGTGGTGACAGAGCAGTAAAATAACAGGAAAATACTGGACAAATCCAATGGGTCAAGCAGATATGGTGGAGAAATGCCATGGTAAACATCATGTTAAGTCTTTAGATGTAAAGATTTAAATATGTAAAGATATTTATAATAGTACCGTTGTTGTTGATAAATCCATGTATTTGCTCAGATTGGTTTAATTCAAAATTAAAACTGGCCCATAATTATGTTCCAATGTACATGTATGAAGAAGTAAGGTTATGTTTGAAATTATAGTATCCTCTCATATGTAGCTGGCCATTTTCATGCTCATTATAATAACAAATTTAAACTAAACTAACTTACTGCCGATATCAATTAGCAATTATTGCTATTTTTGCTTGTAAAAAAGGGAAGAATAAATTAATTCATTTTATTGAAAAGTAAATAAAATAATAACTTTCTTGAAAATACGTGTTAACTATAATATAATAATTGAGATTGCTGTTTATTTTTATTGACAAGTGATGACAGTCTTCCAAGAAAGGCTTAAGCCTTTCTTAGGAGATAGAGGGGAGAGAATATTATTATAAGCTGCCTCCTTTTTTTCTACTCTAATTTAGAAAAGCCCACAAAACTCAGTTGAATGGGAATCCCATTTTTTGTAGCATATTCACAAAAATTTATTAAGTCTTTTAAGTACATATTCATTATTCACTTTTAATCCACTCTATCCTTCAGTGGTTTTCTTGTGTTTTGTACAATAAATTTAATATTCAAGTGACTCAATTTTTCCTTAAGATTTCAGTTAGTTCTGTGACTAGTTTGCATATTAAGCTGTTGTAGAGGATGGTAGTGGTTTGACTTTATCTTTCCTCAATGGACAAGAAGTGGAGATTAGTGAATGAAGCTATGGTAGAATTAATTTAGTGGTGCAGTACGTTGCATGACTTTTTCTTCCTTGGGTCATAAGATAACATGAAAACCTGTTAATGGCTAACAAGTTTTTGCCACTCTGGAGTCTTCCCTGGTAACAACTGATATGAAAATAAAAGAAGTAAAAGAAAAAACCTGTGGGGCCAATATTTGTTCAAAAAATATGTGTTTAGGGGACTGATTTTGTGAAAATGATTTTAAGAGTAGCTTCTTGTTGCAGGCTTTCAGATAAGCATTGCGTAACATAACAGCTGGGACTTGCTTTGGGTTTTTTTTTGCCCACCTTGAGCAGTGATTCTTAACAGCAACATTTTTGGTGTTGACCAAATGTCAGCATTGTGTGTCAGCTGTGCAGTACAAAAACCCATGGCATTTTGTTGCTCCAAATTTAATTTTAGATAAATTAGGTATGATAAATATCATGTTTCTGGCTTTTGGAGGTGGCACTATGTAGTAAACATAATTTGAGTACCAGTAATAATGTAGAAGACAAGTTTTGATAAAGGTTAATAATATAATTATGTAAAACAAGCCCTTGTTTAAACCAACGTGATCCATAATAATTTGCTTGTTTATCTGTCACGTTAATTTTAGACATTCAACTAGATTTGTACATCTTACATGTACTTGGCCAATAAAAATAATAGTTCATCATGTATTTTTTTGGCTGTGTTAGATTTTTTTTTTTCATTGATAACATATCATTACTATGTTAGTTTATCCTTGTTCTCAGAAGCAGTGTTAAAACACTACTGTATTTTGAAGAAACTGCCATTGTTTTGTTTGTAAATCCCAGCAGCCTGGTACTCAGTTTATCCAAAATATAGAGGGGCTGTTAGGGTAAAATTCCAACAAGTGTCATGGCCTTATTGAAACAGTGACCTAAGACTAGATGAAATGTTGACTAACAACAAAAAGATGGGTTGAAACTGTGACAGTAAAATACTGACAAGGACACTTGGCTGGCCTACTACTCAACAGGGCTGTTATTAAGAGCTGCCCAAGGATTTCCCCTGACTATTATGTATGTGGTCCCCGGCTAGCTGCATAGAAAAAGAGAAGAAAAATAGAACCAAAAGAAATCCCTAGCTGTTTGATTCCCTTTCTACTTGTTGTATTTACCTGGCAACTTGAAATCTACTACTAGAGCTTGACAAAATTTTGAAATAAGCTTTTTAAAAGAGATTCTTCTTAACATTACCAGAAACTCATAAGGGGTTGAACCCCTTATGAGTTTCTGACATTACATTAACAGGCAAACAATAATATTTGTCTCTTGATCACACTTAGTCTGCAAAAGGCAGCCACAGACACCTCTCTTCACTCGACAAGTGAAGCAAATGCCAAAAAAGACATCAGCTAATGCAGGCTAGGTCACAGTTATCCACAGCATAGCTTAACCCCGTTTTATGGTATGAATCAGACTGCTTACAGACCCCTCGACATGGGCCGAGATAAAATAAAGTCATCCCCAGTGTGAATGCACCCCTAATACTTTGTACAATCACAAAGTATTTTAAGGGCCACGTCACAAGGGTATTGTTTTTTAAGAACAATTCTGTGCTGAAGTTATTACTTCAAAGCCCATACATAAACTGGTCCTGATCGAGACTTATGCAAAAGATATCGAACAAATTTCATTAAGGAGCAGTAACCATAATTTTTTTGGTGCTTTTTGCAGGCATAGGTATTAAAACTTGATATCAAACGTTGGCCCAACTTTTTCAAGTTTCAACCCATGTCTGAAACAGTTCCAAAGCCAAAATAATTTATTTTATAGTCTTAAATCACACAACTGGACCTTTATTTTTGGAATTCGATTGATGCAAAAAAATTAGCTTTTCAAAAAGATAGGAAATAGTGTGACGTTGCCCCTTTAAACACAATTCCTGTTACTTAGGTTGGGCGGTAGTGCAGGAAAATGCTTGTTGAATTGGCTGTTTAGTGATTGTTTAGCTTCCCACGCAGGTGTTTTTAGGGGAGCTCATATTTTGTCCCTCCCCACAAATACCTACTCAACCGCGAACAACATTCCTTTCCCACTGTGTTATTTGCGAGGTAGGTGACTAATCAACAGTTTTATAATAAACTGTTGACAGGCTAAACAGGACTCATAATTAAGCTCGTGATGGTGTAAGAACGTGGCACTAGAGTTACCTTTTTCCTTCTTTTCTTTCCTTCGCTAAGGTTATGCGGTGCACGGAGTATTCTAAAATCTGACTGAGTAAGTCTTTTACCGCTCTGAGTCAAACATTTATTAGAGGTCATAAAGCTTTCTCAGTGTTTCAATCAAGTAATTATCGCATTACCCTATGGTAAAGATCATCAGTTTAGGATTTGGAAGGTACAATGTGATTGGCTAAGCTAGGGAAAGGAATGTTGTTCTCGGTTGAGCAGGCATTTGTGGGGAGAGATGAAATACAAGCTCCACTAAAAAGGCCTGCGTGGGAGAAGCCGTTGTAGTTGTCATTAATTTGTTATGTTGCCTTGAGGGAAGATCAGTGTACAAAGGTATCTGTCACCATATGGTCCAAAATAATTTGTTGGTTTAAAAAGTCAACAATGCTGACAATCAAAACTAAAGTTTATTTTACTATTTTGCTTGTAAATATGGCAAAAATGTCATGTAACAATGAAAAACATGAAAATTTGTTCTCCCAAACCCCATGAAACAACAGCTGCCCGATGCTTTGAAAACTTGATTTATGAAGCTGTGTCACTTTTGAACCAAAATTCAAGAAAACGTTAACACAATTAAAAGTCACGGCTATGAATCTGTTGCGAATCTCAAAAACAAGCAGAATCCTGATCTAGTGTCAAAAAAAGCACTGTATCTGGTAAGACCTTTTAAACATCTCTATGAATTTTTTCAATTTGCAGAAAAATTTAGGTAAGGTCTCTCCGTGTGGTCCCCAGTATTGTAACCAAATCATCACAACTACCACCACCACCATCATCATCATCGTCAGTATCATCAACATCATCATCACACCAATACCATTATTATAGAAATCACCATCACAACATCAACGTACGATCCATATAGAGTGGAATGCTTTTAACATGACTGAAGTGGGTCCATAAAATTTTGGATATAATGACTATAAATGAGTTGGTTGTAAGGTGTTCAACTGTATCTTCATTTTTGTCATCATCACAACCTCTAAAAACATAAGTGTTGGTCAACATCATCATTTATCATCACCATCACAACTATGAACCATTGACCACTGTCATCATCATTATAGATGTCATCACGAACAAGCCTCTTAAATCTATTAAAAACAGGGTGGATGAACAGATAACTCCCTACATTCGGCAAAGGGTCAACTTTTCTGAGCCATTTTTTATCACCCACTCCTCAGCACAGGTTTCTGGCGATGAGCTGTTGTTGTCCTCACTTTCTGAATCCTGGTTTTCATCATCTTCACTCTCCGAAGCACTCATTTGACATAACTCTCGACGATGCTTATTTTTTTTTATTCTTTGCTCTTCTCTTAGTTGCAACTCAATCTCTTCCTTTGTAAGGTACCGTTTATTGCAATGCTTGTCAATGGAAGGTCTCTTTTCTCTTCTTTCCTTCCTCTTCTCACCAAGCTTTTTTAGATAAGAACAAGATGTACATGATTGATGAGCAGCTGATGGTGAGATTAACTTACACTTAGAAGAAAATGCACCACTTTCAGGCGAAGCGTCAGGATCTGTTAATGATCTGAACATTCCTACTCTGTGTGGCACCATTGACATCATTTCTTGTTCAAAACGACAGCCAAGGCAAGTGCCCGAATTTTCAAGAAGCTCTATAATCATTTTAGCTTGAGCTGTCACTGGCAAATCCTCACAAATCTTTTGCAATTTCAAGTCCTCCAAACTTACTTCATTTCCATGGGATTTGATTACACACTTAACTCCTTTCTCTGAACACAATTCCATTGATATTTCAGTCAAAATTCGCCGCTTTTCAAACTCCCAGGTCCCAGGACGTATTAGACTGATCTTCTTTGGGTTGTCCACAACTTTAAACCAGCCTTTAGGCAGCACATAATCGTCTTTAGCCATTTCTTCAAAACCAAGCACCAAGTCACCATCAACAGACTGCACCCGATTTTGTTTAAGAGTCAAGTTCATGTAATGGGTCTTTTGATCACCACGTGGACCTCTTCTTACACGCTTGACCTTGCCATCCCATATATCACTTAGGATCCTACCCATGGTGTGTAACTTGAGATTGGTACTAAACCCAAACTCTTCCTTCTCTCTTCCAGCACATTCTAGAATGTCCTTTAAACGGGTTAGACTTCCTTCTTGAAAACTGTAGTTCTTCAAGACCCTTGAGAAATGTTACACATAGCAAGAATTAAGTACAAAGTTAATAACAAAACTACAGTCATCTTCTTTTGAAAGAAGTACAGTACAATTAATATTCATTACTTGCAATTAGAATCAAACCTCTATTATGCAGTCACCCTCTATTTTTGAATAATAATAATAATAAAATACTTACTTATTCAAGTTCACAAGTCCAGCGCTCTAACTGCTCGACCTTGCTGCCTTCATAATGTAAATGATATGATTTGATCTCAATGTTACCGAAGCAAAACAACCCAAGGAAATAAATGATAATTCTCCCAGAAGCCCACTTACCAAAGTCGTGGAAATAGTTTCCTTGAATTACTGTACAACTGACCTGTATCAAGCAGTCATGTCTATTATGCAATCGCGGCCACCTTTTCTGAAGTCCCAACAAGTTCTTTTATAATAATTAATTTATTATAATTTATTAATAATAATAATAATAATAATTATTATTATTATTATTATTATTGTCTTCACCTGTACATAATTATGGTCATATGGTACCATATACTAGTGCAACAGATAGTTATGTTACAGGTCAAACATGATTTCAGGTAAAATTTTTTAACCTAGGTTGATTCTCCTTTTTCCTTTGTCTCTTAGCCCTAATTATTCATGAACTAGGGCTAGGAGACAAAGGAAATTAAGAATCAACCTAAGTTTAATAAATCAAAATTAACCTGAAATCAAATTTGACCTGTCACAGATACACTGTGTATGGCTTTCAGTGGTCTTTTAGTTCTGCCCACTTGTTGCTTACAAGAGGTTATAGGAAAACCCAAAAAGTGGCCTTGGCTGTTAAAGGGAGGCTTTGTTTAAATTTCTCTAGTGGTTTTGCTCTACAATGCTTCCATTCTTGAAATTAGGCAAGGGAATTTTTGTGTTATTAATATATTTCGGTTCAGGCACAGTATTACAGGTTTCCCTCTAAGTCTAAGGGATTTTGGGGATTTTGACGGGGGGGGGGGGGGGGGACCCCCCCCTTTTTGGGGGGGGGGGGGGGGGAGTACCCCCGCTCTTGCCCAGTCACTGTACCAGACATGCTCGGTCAATAGGCCATTTGCACTACGAGGTCATGTGATATTGTTTTTATGAAAATGAAAGTTATATGGTTTTGCCTTCGAAAAACAATTAGTGGGTCATATCTTAAACAAAATAATAGTGATTTGGTTTTTCAAAATCACACCATTTTCTTAGAATGAGTAAGTTCATAGCTAGTCACGTGACCAAAATGAGATTTTTAAAACTGTATAAATTACCTCTTTCTGAACACAAATTTTGCACTTAAACTACAAGGAAAATGTTGAAAAGATGATGTGTTAAAGTTTACAGCACATCTGAGTGTAACTATCAAACTTTTAACAAGATATAAGCAAAAAGTAGTTTTGGCCGCAATGTTGGAGGGCAAGAGTATGCCCTCCAACATGGCGGCTAATACAAATCATACTATTTTGTTGAAAAATCAAAGTGCCATAAAATATCTCCCTTAAATGCGTTTCCTCTCAAATTTTGGGTATAAGATAATTTTTATGTGCTCTGTCAATTTTTGGCATCAGCAATAGTCCAACTCATTGTTTAAAGGAAGCATTGGTCACGTGACATCTTAGTGCAAGTGGCCTATTCATGTCAGTGATGTATCTGAGATGATATCACTCAGACCATATGATCCAAAAACGCATAGCCCGCGTGGAAATAATGAGACCTAGGGACTAGGCGAGAGTACTGCCCTCCCAAGAAGATAAGTAGCCCAGGTAAGGTTGAATCTCTTCCAGCCAACATTAGTGTGAATACTAATCTCTTAATTTGAATCCACAGGTAGCCCAAGATGGAAATATGAGCAATGGTGAACATCGGCATTGTTGCATAACATTCAAAATATATAACATTACGCAACAATGCTGATGTTCGCCGATGCTCATATTTCGAGCTTGGGCTATCTGTGATGAATATAGGCACTAATAACGGAGAGGTCTGGGTTGGGGGCGAACAGTTGTGCATTGCATAGGAGTCGTCCTATTTCAGAATTGAGCAGTATATAGTATCATAAGGGTCATAAGACCATACTGATAACCAATTGTAATACACCACGCTAGCTTGTAGTCTATTCCTTAATTTTTGATATCATCAATCAAAGGCTTAGAATTTAATGCACTCTCAGCAAGCAAGCAAGATTAAGGTTTTCGAGAATACGGTAGCTAACACAAAAACAATGCAAACTCTGCAACCGCTTTTGTCCAGATTTAAGTTCCAGGGCAGATTGCAAAACGCCTGGTTTTTTTATCACTGGTCTTTCATTAGTTATTAGAGCATATAGGCTTATTTTAAGCCGAATTATCAAGCTTACCAAAATTTCCATTGTATATCTGTACCAGATTTTGTCAGCTTCTTTCGCTTAGCTTTAGAAGTGTGTTCTTCGTTCTGCGAATCCTCCAGATTTCTTTTCGAGACGACTCCTTCCTTTTCAGCTTCTTCAGCATTCTTTTCCATCTTTTCCGTACAATCTCCCGAAGAATTGGAAGCTGCCGACACGTCTAGCTAGCTTTGCACTACTCAGTGCGAAAATCCTTTTACTCTATAGCTAGGAAAACTCTGGGAGAGTAGGGTGCAAGTTGATGCCCGACGTGATAGTTGGGATAGGAAAAAGTTAGATACCAGTCCTTTCTCCTATCGTTCGTTCTCTTAGCCGCCATCTTTGAAGAGTGATAGTCGTATTTCTCATCATGGTAAGTTACGACGCTTATTTTCCATGTGCGAGATCGATTTAGCTTCATTGAAGTAAGTAAAAGATTGAGTTAAGCATAAATGGTAGGATTCAGTAAGGATTGCTTACGGATGGCAGCAAATGATAGAAGCTTTAGCCAAGTTCTGTTGTCGTGCGAATCATGAAGTTTTGTGTTGTTTCCTTTAGCCGTCCCACAAAAGCTTTAAAATCAAGAGAAAGCTGGGCAAGAAGATGAAGCAAAACAGGCCAATTCCACAGTGGGTTAGACTAAGGACTGGAAATACCATCAGGTGAGCTTTTTGATGTGTGCTCTCATTAGACTTCGATGGGACAGTCCAGCCTTGCTTTTTTTTTCATTTATCACTCCATAATATTTACAAATAAGGTTTTGCTGGGTCGTGTTGGTAGAGTCTAGTGAAATTAGCCTGATCATACTAGCGTAATTCATTAAATTCGTAAACCACGTAATGATACATGAGCTCAAATATAAGGAAGATGGAAAATACACTGTATCTTGGTTCATGAGTCAAAAGATGCTCGCTCACAAGCAACGTAAGTCGCAAGTCGACTTGTAATATTAAATGTACATTACAATGTACATATTGTATGTGGTGTGTACCCGACCTTATTATCCTTCATTCCCAGTGACGCATTAAATGGATTATTCATTTATGCATAGTAATTAGTGACAAGGAACCTATCCAATCAGCTTTTTATCAATAAAAGTAAGATGATGAATTTTAAGCCTGGTCAATACATGAGTAAGATGTTTTTCTCAGAGGCGGATCAGAAGAAAAGTATGCTCGATTGTACAGGCCATAAAGTTGTAGGGTCAACTTCTTTTGGCAATACACCATCGCATTTTTTCTTCTGAGCTGCCTGTGCCACTGACTTAAAAAACATCTTTCTGAAGCATTTCGTTATTTGGAAAACAACAATAGTTTTTAATTTAACCTCTGCTTGATGTTATTCCACTTTAGATATAATGCCAAGAGACGTCACTGGCGTCGTACCAAACTGGGATTGTAAAAGAAATCAGGATGAGACAAGCTCACAGCGGAAATAGTTTCGAGTGGCACCAGTCATCTCAATCACTGTTGTTTCTGTACAATACCTATTAAAAGTTGTTCAGTTTAATAACACAGTTTTCATTTATCTGGTTCACATTAGCAGAATAGTTGGTTTGTACATGGTTTAATGGCTCTTTCCATCTGCCACTTCATGTTAGGGTTAGGGGTTGTGGTCAAGTTAATGGTATCATAAACTGATGATAATGAACCTAAGATAATGCCCAGTCAGTGTACACATTTCGCTAAACTAGCAACAATCATCTCTCTGTTCTTATGTCACACAATGTTCAACCTTTGAATAAGCTTGTGTACTGAGTAACTGTTGATAATCATATTAGTCCAAAGTGCAAGAAAACAATGAACAGGCTTCTAGTTTTATTACAACGTATCCTTCTCTCTTGGCAAAGCCTGCTGTAACTTCATTGTGATATTTTCTGAACGCCACAAAAGGTTCCATTCACATTGCCACATACTCATCATGCACATGCGCTGTCATTATAATGCCCTACACTGTCCTTTCCCAACCATCCCGTTGATGGGAAGAGTTCATCATTAACATTTGAGGGAAGTAGTTTCTCAAGAGATCAGTCATTAAGTGATTTGCTTAAAAGCCCAAAAAGAAATTGGATTGTACAAATTAATGAAAGTAATCCTCAGGGAAACATTCATGAGTAAGGCCACATTGTTCTCCTTTGATGTCAAAGCTTTTGCACTGTTGCCTGCTCAGTCTTGGGAGGAAACAGCGTGTATAAGGTGGTACCTAATCCAAGAGAATCACAAGCTGATTAACCATACAAGCACTCATTAATATAACCATTGTTTTCAACATTTTAATCCAGCAGTCTAATTCATTTCATGTATGTGTATATATACAGTGTTTGGTGGCAACAATATCTAAAATAAAACATTATTGAAAACANCCTACACTGTCCTTTCCCAACCATCCCGTTGATGGGAAGAGTTCATCATTAACATTTGAGGGAAGTAGTTTCTCAAGAGATCAGTCATTAAGTGATTTGCTTAAAAGCCCAAAAAGAAATTGGATTGTACAAATTAATGAAAGTAATCCTCAGGGAAACATTCATGAGTAAGGCCACATTGTTCTCCTTTGATGTCAAAGCTTTTGCACTGTTGCCTGCTCAGTCTTGGGAGGAAACAGCGTGTATAAGGTGGTACCTAATCCAAGAGAATCACAAGCTGATTAACCATACAAGCACTCATTAATATAACCATTGTTTTCAACATTTTAATCCAGCAGTCTAATTCATTTCATGTATGTGTATATATACAGTGTTTGGTGGCAACAATATCTAAAATAAAACATTATTGAAAACACTATAATGTTCTTTGGTAGGTGCTTCATGTAAACCTGACTTTTTCAGTATGTTAGAGTTCTTTGCATGAGCTGCATGTACAGTGTATGCAAGTTTACAAGAAGCTGCATTGTATCAGAACAAACCGTATTGCAAAAGTTGGATTTACATGAAGCACCACCCAAACAGGAATTCCACATGGCCAATTTCCTTAATCCTTTCACTTTTGAAGGTGGTAAAAATTACAAGAGACAACTCTGTAGGCAGACACCCAGAGTTAATGCATGATGTTGTTCAGTCATACTGTTTGACTCTATAAATTAAAAGCAGACATGGACACTCTCCTTCCTGTGGGTGAGGTCATTGAAATGAAACCTCTTCCGCAGTATTTCTTCAAGTATATTTAAAAAGAGAAATAATAACTTATTTTTTTTCTTCAGTTCTAAGTTTTTGCTTTTTCTTGCAGTGAAAAGGTTAATAAAATACAAACGACCCCTCTTTTGCCTTCTTTCAGTCTCTGTGATTGATGGTCAAGAATTGCTTGCCAGGTACCATTTTGAACTTGGGTGTCAAGGCAACATTATCATAGTCAAATTCTGTATCAAGAGTGAATGGCTGCACTTCATCTGTACCTTCACTTCCCTATGATGTTAAGACAAAGAAAGCATAATTAGAGTGAGGGATTTTAGGAAATCAAACATCAAAACGTTTTTCTCTGCAGGACAATCCTATTGGCTCAGAGAACTAGAGTGGCAGCAATAATGCTTGGACCCCCATTGCATTAGGTTAAAACTTAGACCCGAAACAAGTGCAATATCAAGCAAAGCAGTAGAGTAAGTGAATTTCAACCCACAAAGAGAGAGCCCCACCCCCTTCCCAAACACCCAAATCAATACATGAGACATGGTAGAATGTGAACACTTGGGAGGGGTGAAGAAATGAGTGTGGAGCCTGAGAGAAGAAAGCGAAGAAGTCCTTTTTCCTCTCTCCACCCCAATCTCTCCTCCTTTTTACCATTGCTGCATTAGCTCTGAGGAAAGAAGGACAACTGCTTGCAATCTACTAAAAGGGTAAAAAGTACTGTACAGTTGATCATTTGCGGTCTTGGGATCATTTGCAGTACTGTACAGTACTATTAATATTCTCATGAGTGATAACAGTGCTATATAGGGCTTATATGGGCAGACTAAGAAAGAAATAGAGTGCGGCACATACCACATTGAGGATGTGTTCACTTATCAGATTGTCCCCCTTTAGTCTTGTGGAGATCTGCAGTTGTCTTATGTTTGGCTCCATAGATTCCTTTAATCCACTATCTGAATAGAAATGGAAAATATCTGTAACAGGATATAGAAGGACCAACACACAACTGTTGATTGGGTTTGATAAGGTACATGTATGTAAAACAAGACACCCACTTTATCACTACCCTATTAGAGAGGAGAAGTCATGATGTCACATTGTCATGGTAGCAAAATTTCTAAATGACACAAACCAAAACGTCACTTAAAAAGTCAGGGTCGGCCAGAGGGGGGCGGGGGGGGTGGTAGTGGTATACCCGAAAAAAATTCGCCAAAATACCCAAATTATACCCAAAATTTTACACAGGTATACTTTAAACCTGAAATTCAAAGAAAGTGATATACTGTATACCCAAAAACCCTGGCTGACCCTGAAAAGTGGATTCGCACTGTTTCAAACTTCATTGATCTTATTTAATTTCATTTATTTTGTCAAATGTTGGCAAAATTTTCTGGGTCAAATTCAGCTAAGAAATATACAAATTAAAAACATGACGCATGTGCGAAGTTGTTTTTTTTTTTTTTGCCAATCTAAACCTATTGTTTTTTTGCTGTTCATCGTTGCAAAAACTCCCTACTGTTATGATCCAGAAATTTTGCTACCAAGGTAACGTTGCATCACACTTATCTCTATTTGGAAGATTATAGTCATGTCAAAATACAATCTGTCACGTAAGTTTAATCGGAAGTGTTCATACTGAAGTCATCACACAGGTACTCCTCTTCCCCATATTCTTTGTCTTAGGCTAGACACTTAAACACCTGGGCCGAGTTGTTCAAAGCTGGGTAAAGATAACCTAGGGTTAGTGCGAGATTTGAATTC